GCAAAAATCAATTAATGTAATCTATCAACAGGCTAAAGAAGAAAATCATATGATCATATTAATAAATGCAGAAAAGGCATTTGACAAAAATCCAGCATCCACTCATGGTAAAATGATCAGCAAACTAGAAATAGATGGGGAACTTCGCCAACTTGTTAATGTAATCTATCAACAGGCTAAAGAAGAAAATCATATGATCATATTAATAAATGCAGAAGAGGCATTTGACAAAAATCCAGCATCCACTCATGGTAAAATGATCAGCAAACTAGAAATAGATGGGGAACTTCGCCAACTTGATAAAGAACATCTATGAAAAACCTATAGCTAACATCATATTTAATGGTGAGAAACTAGAAATTTTCTCTATGAGGGACAAAGCAAAGACATCCCTTCTTACCACTGCTTTTCAACAGTGTACTGAAAGTCCTAACTATTGCAATAAGACAAGAAAAGGAATTAAAAGGTATGCAGATTAGGAAGAAAGAAATAAACTGTCTTCATTTGCAAATGACATGATTATGTAGAAAATTTGAAAAAACAAAACCTTCAATTAATTAGTGATTATAGCAAGGTTGCAGGATACAAGATTAATATACAAAAGTCAATTGTTTTCCTAGCAATGAACAAGTGAAATTTGAAATTAAAAATACAAAACAATTTACATTAGCATCCACAAAAATGAAATACTTAAGTATAAATCAAACAAAACATGTACAAGATATATATGAGGAAAACTACAAAACTCTGATGAAAGATACCAAAGAACTAAATAGATATTCCATGTTCGTGAACAGAAAACCTCAGTGTTGTCAAGATGTCAGTTCTTCCCAACTTAATGTATAGATTCAACACAATCCCAATCAAAATCCCAGGAAGTTATTTTGTCTATATTAACAAGCTGATTCTAAGTTTATATGAAGAGACAAAAGACTCAGAACGCAATATTGAAGGAGAAAAGCAAAGTTGCAGGACTGACATTCTCCAACTTCAGGACTTCCCATAAAGCTACAGTAATCAAGACAGTGTTGTATTGGCAAAAGAATAGACAAATAGATCAATAGAACAGAATAGAGAACCCAGAAATAGACACACATAAACATATTCAATTGATATTTGACAAAGGAGCAAAGGCGATACAATGGAACAAGGATAATCTTTCCAACAAAAGGTGCAGGAACAACTGAACATCTATGTGAAAAATAAATAAATCCAGATACAGACCTTACACTCTACACAAAAAATTAACTCAAAGTATATCATAGACCTAAATCTAAAATGTAAAAGTATAAAACTTTTAGAAGACAACATAGGAGAAAATATAGATCATCTTGGGTATGGCTATGATTTTTTAGATACAACATCAAAGGCATGATCCATGGAAAAAAGAATTGATACAATGAGCTTCATTAAAATGAAAAACTTATGCTCTGTGAAAGATACTGTCAAGAGAATGAAAACATAAGCCACAGACTGAAGAAAAAATTTGCAAAAGACATATTTGATTGAGGACTGTTATCTAAAATATACAAAGAACTCTGAAAGCTTCCCAATGAGAAAATGAACAACTGACTAGAAAATGGGCAGAAGATTCAAGTAACACCTCACCAAAGGAGATGGTGAATATGCATATAAAAAGATGCTCAACTTCATGTATCATTAGACAATTGGAAATTAAAGCAACAATAAGATATTACTACACACCTGTTAGAGTGGCCAGAATCCAAAACATAACATGAAATGTTGGCAAGGATGTGGAACAACAGGAACTCTCATTCATTGCTGGCAGGAATGCAAAATGCTACAGCTACTTTGGAGAACAGTTTGGCAGTTTCTTACAAAACTAAACATATTCTTACACACAATCCAGCAATCATGCTCCTTGGTATTTACCCAAATGAGTGGAAAGATTACGTTCATACAAAAACCTGCATGTGGATGTTTATAGCAGTTTTATTCATAATTGCCAGAAGTTGGAATAAACCAAGGTATTCAGTAGGTGAATGGATAAATAAACAGTGGTACCTCTAGAAAAGTAAATATTATTCAGCAGAAAAAAAAGAGCTCTCAAGCCATGGAAAGATATGAAGGAAGCCTAAATACATATTACTAACATATTACTAAGTGAAAGAAGCCAATCTGAAAAGGCTATGTACTGTATGATCCCAACTATATGACATTCTGGAAAAGGCAAAACTATGGAGACAGTAAAAAGACTTAGTGGCCACCAAGGGTGAGGTATGGGGTGGGGGAAGGGAGGGATGAATAGGTGGAACACAGAGGATATTTAGGGCAGTGAAACAATTCTATGATACTGTAATGGTGGATACTTTTATTATACATTTGTCAAAACCCATAGAATGTATAACACCAAGAATGAACTTTAATGTAAACTATAGAGTCTGGGTGATAATGATGTGTCAGTGTAGATTCAGTTATAACAAATGTATCACTCTGGTATAAGATTTTGATAGTGAGGGAAACTGTGTGTATTCCCCGTGTACAAGCAGGGAATATATGAAAAATCTCTATACCTTCTGTTCAATATTGGTGTGAACCTAAAAATAAAATCTATTTTTAAAAAGTCTCAGCCCCCCAAAAAGTGCAGAATGATCAGGTAGGGTTGATCCCAAGAATACAAGGATGGGTCAATATCAGAAAAACATATCAATGTAATTCATCACATTAATATTGAAAGAGAGAGAGAGAGAGAAAGAACATGTTCTTACCAGATGTAGAAAAAGTATTTAATAAAAAAAGTCTTTAGAAAATAGTGTTTTATAAAAATAAAAATTCTTTTGGGCCGGCCCGGTGGCGCACTGCTACAGTGCACCACTTGGGAGCGCGGCGGTGCTCCCGCCGAGGGTTCGGATCCCACATACAGACCGGTTCCCGCTCACTGGCTGAGCGAGGGGCGGGCGCAGCACTGAGGGTTGCGATCCCGTTGCCGGTCCCAGTCCGGTACGGGCGCGACACTGAGGGTTGCGGTCCGTTGCCGGACACGAAAAAAGACAAAAAGGAAAAAAAATTAAAAAAAAAAAAAAAATTCTTTGAAAACTATGAATAAAAGAAAACTTTTTAGCTTTTTAAAGACTTTCTACCAAAAACATGCAGCATGCAACATTTTAAAGAGACATATGCACATTCTCTTTTAAATTAGCAATAAGACAAGATTAAAAAAGGAAAGGAAATAGATTTAATTCAAAGATTGGAAGGGGGAGATATTTTAAGATTATTTACATGGAATATTCAGCAAGGGTGGCAGACAAATTATCATAACTAATTAGAGGGTTTTGAAGGTTTGCCAGAAATAAGAATAACACACAAAGATTAACAGTAGAAAAAGTAGTGGAACATAAGATGCCATTTAAATAGCAAACTAAGAGCATAATGTGTCTAGAAATTAACCTCACAAAGAACACATGAAAATTTGAAGTAGGAATTTTTAGAACTCCATTAAAAGATATAAAAGGAGATCTGAATAATGTCAATCAAACAGCATATTTATGAAAGGGACAATTTAACTTTGTAACAGCATCGATGCTCTCTAAATTAAACTATAAATTTAGTTTTACAAAATTAAACATATTCTTACACACAATCCAGCAATTAAACTATAAATTTAGTTTAATTTCAATAAAAATATCAGCTGGAATTTTGGAGAACTCTGACAAACTGATTCTAAAAGCTATTTTAGAAGAATAAAGTTTTGTGAATATCTGAGACCATTTTTAAAAAGAAGAGCACAAAGAAGAGGAGACTTGACCAGCCAAATAGTTAGACATTATAAAGCCTGGTAATATGAACAGTGTTTTCTGCTGAAGAGGCCAACCCAGACACAGATCCCTGAATATATGCAACGTGGTGTATAATAGGCATGGGATGACAAATGTAATGACATATGGAAAAATTAACCCACTGTGTGGAAAAAATACTGAAGTGTATTCCCTCAAGAAAAACTCTAGCGGGATTTGGATTTAAAACCTAAAAGTGAAAGGTAAAACTAATAGAAGAAAATGTGGCTGAGTATCTTCATGATCCCAAGATGAAAGGGTTTCATAAACAAGATTCGACATGCACAAAACATGTATAAATTTCCCAACACCGAAGTAGATATATACTCATATGTGCAACAAACACCTCCTAAAGTTATCAGAGAGTTGACAGAGTGGGGTAAGATAGTATTGAAAACTGATTAGTGATTAATATCTAGAATGTAAAAGTTATTTCTGCAAATCAGAGAGAAGACAGGAGACTCAACAGAAAAAATGAGCAGTTCACAGAAGGGTAAAACCAAATATCTAGTAATGCCTGAAGAGATGCTCAATCTCATAAGAAATCAGAAAAATAAAAATAAAACCACAGTGAAATTCCACTTTATACATACCAGATTGACAAAAATTAGAAAGTCAGAAAATACCAAGTGTTTGGTGGAGAAATGAGAACCCTCATGTTTTTCTTGTTGGAGTGTCAACTGGCTATTTTAGAGGTCAACTGGGCAGTATTCAGTGAAATAATATGTGAATTTACTCTATAGTCAAGCAATTCTGTGCATATATATCCAGAAACACCCTTGCCCAGACACATAAGAGGACATGCAAAGCATATTTCTTGCATCCTTGTTTGTGTTCACAAAGAGTTGGAAGGAACTTCTTGCTGCTCACTTGGAGACTGGACAAGGAAAGGATTTAGGCAGCAGTCTGAAGGAACGAGCTGGATTTACATATAGCAGCAGGATGGATATATCCCAGAAGCACAGTGTTGAGTGAAAAAAAGCTTTAGATGTATCTCCCAGTACCTTTTATGAAAATACAACACGCAATCACAAAGCAATACTAATTTTCAAGGACACATATATGTCTAAATAAACATATGGAAAGTGGATTAGAAGGATGCATATTACCTTCACTAGAGTAGGCACCTTTGGGACACAGGAACGGAAGCTGAGGGGGAAATAATTCTACAAATAACACTACACAGGTTCTTTGCGCAAGCCAGTGATGCTAGTTCTCTACGAACTGAGAGGTAGGATGAATTTAAATCTGTGACCTTGAAGTCCTTAAAAAGAAATCAGTTCTTTCTAAAACTGCTGGGATGAGCTGGGTTTTTAAAAATATATTTCTATCCACTCTGATTTTGTCCCTCCTTTTCCCTCATAAAGGGTTGCTGACTCCTAGCAAAGTGTCTGCAAACTCCGGGGGCATGGACAGCATTGCGGTGACTTGGCAGCCTCCCAGGAAAACTGCCTCTACTGTTCAAGAGTACGTGGTGGAATGGAGGGAACTCCATCCACGGGGCCACATGCAGCCCCCTCTAAACTGGCTGCGGACTCCCCCCTCCAATGTGAGCGCTCTGATTTCAGGTACCTAATTGTTCATCTTCCTTCTGGAGGTTACTAAGCTCACATTTTTGTGGGTGGTGGGGGGAGGAAGCAGGCAGGAACCCAGAACCCTGCCTTCAATTATAGGTAGCCACATGATAAGAGGGACAGTGATAATCTAGAGACCATCAAGACAGAGCCTCAGAATACACCACTGCAGCATCTAGTATTTATGGAAAATCCATGTCCTTAGTAGAGTGCCAAATAAGATGAATTAATAATTGAAATGAGTATGGCTGACAGCTGAGTTAACTGGTCAGTGTGAAAGGCACCTTTATCTTGGGGAATTCATTTAATTATCAAAACAATTGTGTGTGGTAAGAGTCATTATGCCCATTGTACAGATGAGGAAGCCGGTAGATCTTTCATTCGTAATTCTGCTGCTTATAATTTGTGTAATAATAAATCTTGAATTATCTACATGATAATTGGTGTCTCTAATCCTCAGGTTGCTAATCTGTCAGTGGTTAGAGTCAAATAATTAGAATCAAGTGAGAGAAAGCATCTGCAAATATATTAAAGTGATTGGCCAGACTTAATGTTATTTTTAGGCATAAATTCAAAATAGTCATTCAAAGTTCTGGCTCTGCAGCCAGGCTACCTGGGTATGAGTCCTGGCTCTATCAAGAATAGTTGTCTGAACCAGGGCAAGTTGCTTTACTTCTCTTTGCCTCAGTTTCCCTATCCATAAAATGGGATAGTAATCATCTACCTCATTGGATTATTGTGAGGACTAACTGAATTAATATAGGAAAACGTTTTGAACAGTGCCCAACACATTTTAAGTGCTTAATAATTTAGCTATCATTATTATTATTAAACATGACACAGCTAGGACTTTAATAGATTTTCAAGCTCTAAATCCCATAATATTTTCATTACATCATGACATCTGCCTAGGAGAATATACACACTCTACTTAAGGAGACAAGATTTGCACAAATGAAGTAAACAGAGCACATCATGATAATACATGAGCCTGTTCTTAACTGTGTGCCTCTTTTATAGTCTGGCTCAGACTTCTAGTAGGCTGTTTTCATCACTACTCTTAAAGAGAATGCTGCCTAGATAACCCAGCTAGCATCCAGAGGAAGGTGAGCGAGTCATTGGGAGTCTGGAACTTTTAATCTGGAAACCATTCAGCCTATAGAAGAGAATTCTAGATGAGGGTGTGGGGGAAGGGGGTGTGTGATGGCTGTTGCTAGTTTTGACGTGTACATACAAAAGAGTATGCTTCCTTTGTTGCTCTGGAGAGCAACACGAAGGCCGTGCATGGAAACTATAAGAAGGCAGCTCAATTTTGAGAAACAACTTTTCTACCTTTGCTGGCCTCAATACAACAATAGATTACCTCTCAAGACAGTGCATTCCCTGTCCCTAGAGTCTTTGCAGCAGAACCAGTTTTTGTCCAGGGCTGTTATATCCATCAAATCAGATGAAACAATGCATACAAAAAGCAGTTACCAAACTTTAAGCTGCTGTGAAATTGTAAACACTTACCAAGACTTATTCCTGTGGGATAGTTTGAACTGTATGGTCCTCACAGTTCCTTCCTTTTAGAAATTCTATAATTCTATACAAATAGCACAGAATAGATGACGAGAGAATGTTTTCCGTACAAAGTAAAATAAAATATTTTTAAGTGCTTAGAAATTTACATTTGACTAAAACCAATATACTAATAAGTAAAATAACTTTATTAAAGTTGTTCTGCTTAGAAACACTTGGTTAGCTACTAGTTTACATTGATGTTACATTCTCGAAATAAATGCTTAAAAAATTAAGTAATTCATACTTTTCATGAATTCAAAAAGGCCCGCTCCAGTCTGTAAGACCACTCATCGTGATTAGATCCTCACTAGCCTTTTCCCAGCATCCAGCAGGGGCAGAGTCGGGTGTTTTGGTGTTTTGGAGTAGGCCAGAGTACAGCCCGACTCCTGAATTGTAGGTTGGTGAGGCTGAGGCTAGAGACCATCAGTCCTGTCCAGTCTGTGTGAAAACACTTCTGGTCATATAGAGCCACTCCTTTTACGACTGCATAACATCATGTTGTCTAGAAAACCCTCCCTGGTGCCTTGATTAGTTGGGCCACTCTTGTGCATGCTCCCATCTTACCACCTCTAGGAAGACTCCTGGTTGCTGGTCACTTCATGTTTGCCTTCTCCCACACTTGAGAAGTGAAGTTAGCTTTCTGCAAAAAAACCAACTGAGAGATGGTTTATAAATGTAGAGACAGGGCCTCTGCTTAAGGGTGCCAGGTACATATGTATGCATGGGAGGGATGGGAAATGAACCTGGAAACTAGGACCAGACCGTAGAAAGGAAATGAAAGTCAGAGTATTGTTTTCATCCACTGAAGGTTTTTGAGGTAGGGGACAGACATGATTAGGGAGTGCCCATATAACAATCATCCAGCAAAACAGGAGTCCTTAAGGTCAGAACCAGGAAACAAGCTTATAAGGAGAGCTGTAGTCTTGGTGGAAAAGGAAATGTCAGCTGAGTTACAGAGGCACATGTCTTCTGTTCTCCACCAAGCATGCGCCATTCACAAAGCTTCTGATGAAGCAGTTCCCAAGCCCTCTGCCCAGAACTCACATTCTGCTTGGCAAAACGCAATGGAACCATTTGTTTAATGAGCTCATCTGGAGCTCCCATGACTTTGCATGGCACAGTGGTTGGTTGGCCCCTTTCCTGAGTAGGGGCAGAAAGCCAGGCACTGGGAGCAGAAAGCTCCCCCCAACCCCTTGCAAATGAAATATGATTCCATATTCCGTGCTGCCCTTTGGGCTTCTGGGTCTGGATGCCACCCATGAGGAATTTTTGGATTATGGGACTAAGCTGACTGTCCTTTACTCCATTTCATTTGGTTCATGAACTCAAATTGAAACTCACCATTGGCATGCATTTTGATCTTGTCATGGTCTCTTCTGACAGTACTGGTTGCATGGCTGAGCTTTATATGCTACCTGTTTGCTGGAATATTTAAGGGACAATGGATTTCTATATAAAACACACACAATTTAGCAAGTTATTCTGTGATGTAAAAGTCCTCTTTCCCCCCAAAAAAGGAAATGTTAAATTCTGGTCAATTGTCAGTGTAGGGGACCCTAGCTACCTACCAGCAAGGTATTAAACAATATTGAAGAAAATCCTTACTTTGACTACCTGATATTATAGTTACCTAGTAGCGATTGTCTCTCTTTTTCTTTTTAGTTTTCATTTGCAATTTAAAAAATATATCAAGGGGAGGATCTTAAAAGGCTCTTTTTCTTCACAAGCAGTAAAAATCTGAGATTCATGGAAATAAGGAATTTTGGCAGGGGAGAGGGACTTGCCAATAAGCTTCATGACTGACAAAATATCACAAAGTGGGAAAGAGCATCACCATTCCCGGGTATCTTCCAAATCTTCCAGACTGTGAAGCAATTGAGATCTAACTGGAACAAGGTTGGGGGCAGGGAGGAGAGACACAACGGGTCGGATTGCACAGAGTGTGCCCTGGTTTGTCATGCTGAATGTGTCCTCCCACACTGCCCTGTCAGATCCTGTTAAGCATCCTGGAATTAGAAAAGCCATCCAGGTTCTATGCCTGCAAAACTCCAGCCTCACTTTCTCGTAAACAGCAAATGATTTATTTGTAGAAGTCAAAGGTTTTTTCTTGAAAGGGAGTTTTTATTTTTGTTTTTTCCAAAAGCAGTCTGTGTGTATATGTTTTTGTGTGCTCATATTTAAATCCTTATTGTACTTGAATAGCTTTTGTCTCTTAATCATGATGACCCTGTTTGTTTACATGGAAAGAACTCTGGTTGGTTGGTTGGTTTGTTTATCTATCCTTGGAAGTTGGGAACAGTGACTTCCAGAAGCTGATATCATGGCAAATAAAATGATGAGAATTTGTAAATTAGGTCATCCTTTCACTCTCAGTCCACACTGTGCTTGAACTGTCTTCAAGCTAAGAAAAGGCAAGAAACGCCTTGAATGCATATCCATAACAGATACTAAAATGGCTCCCTTTAATGGCTCACCGGTGATGGTGTGCCTGTTATAAGAAGTCCCTTCTCCTTGCAGAGAACATTAGACCCTACACCTGTTATGAAATCCACGTGTATGCACTGTCAGGGGGCCAAGGAGGATGCAGCTCCATCCTGGGTAACTCCAAGCACGAAGGTGAGTCTGGGGGCCTTTCACCAAATTTTGTTTTGTTTAATGATTTGGATTTGGAAGGTAACAGAGCCTCCTGTGTCCTACTTTTTACAGCACCACTGAGTGGTCCCCACATTAATGCCATCACAGAGCAAAAGGGAAGCATTTTAATTTCATGGAACAACATTCCAGCCCAGGAGCAAATGGGCTGCGTCCTCCATTACAGGATATACTGGAAGGAACGGGACTCCAATTCCCAACCTCAGCTCTGTGGTATGTGTGAGAAGCAAAGGCAGTGGGGCCTTCTTGTTTGGATGTTGGGGAAAACACAAGCAGGTGCATGTGCATATATACACGCAAGTGCTAGCACTGTGCCTGCCCTTAGCAAGTGCTCAATAAATACTTGTGAAATTAATTGAATGAATAAAAGACATCTGAATACACACACAGTTATTGAATAATGTTACATGCCAAGTAAATTGCTAAGGATACAGAAGTGAAGTAAATGCATTAGACTCTCAAGGTGCTTAGTCATATGGAGAGACAGCAGTTTAAAAAGCAGTGAAGGTACATCCATACCATGTAGACCCTTGAGGTTCACAAGGAATGCATTTGGAGAACTTTTAAATCTCCACATTTGCAATTACTATCATAGCATATTATTTTCTCTTTAAAATGGATAAAATAAAATACAGTTTAAGTAACACAAGGTGCTTAGTCATATGGAGAGACAGCAGTTTAAAAAGCAGTGAAGGTACATCCATACCACGTAGACCCTTGAGGTTCACAAGGAATGCATTTGGAGAACTTTTAAATCTCCACATTTACAATTACTATCATAGCATATTATTTTCTCTTTAAAATGGATAAAATAAAATACAGTTTAAGTAACACTTTATGGCCCATAATTACTCTATAACTATGAAATGAAAGCAATTAAACTCTGGCTAGAGCATGATCTCATATGATGTTATGGATTACTCATTCATGTAGCAGCTCCCAGCCACGTGCCAGATTTTATGTTCCCATCTTTAATTCATTCAGAGCTTTTACTTTCTTACTTTTTTTTTTTTTTTCTTCTTGGCTTGACCTTCTCTTTACTTAGGAAGCAGCTGGCTTTCTTTCAGGAGCATTTATCATAAATAAGGAACATTTTTATTCCTTTGGTTATTAGGTTCAAGAAGAATGTAACAAAGCCACCCTGAGATGTAGCTGCCAGAAAGCTGCCTTGCAGGAGTGATTTTTACCCGGAAAACTTTAGGAGCTGGTCTTCTCCCTTGACTTTAGAAGATCCATAGTATGGCTACTCTTAAAGTTATGACTTTAAAAGCTAGTTAATTTTTTATTATATTAATATTCACACATGGTAAAACATTCAAATAGTTCCAAAAGACATAAAATGAAAATTCTCCCTTCCTTGATACTTAGGCTGTTAGGAGTTCCTTTTTTGTTATTCCGGAAAAAAAAAAAATGTAATGCATATACAAGGTGACTTCAAAAAGTCCCTGGAAAAATGGAATTAAAGGATAAAAATAAAAATATAAATGTTATTTCTCAACCTAAGCTCCATCAAGTTCAAGACACATTTGTAAGTGATGATACCAGCTATTTAGTTCATTCCTAAAGAACTGAGGATCCTGGATATTTAACCATGTCAGTACAGTATTTTTTACATTAACTAAAGAAAAAATGTTATCTTTTGAAGATTTTTTAATATTAGCTAACAAAAAGAAGTCTGAAGGAGCCAAATCAGGACTGTTAGGTGGATGCCTAATGGTTTACCATTGAAAGTCTTACAAATTGCCCTTGTTTGATGAGAGGAGTGAGCAGGAGCGGTTGCGGGGGAGGAGGACTCTCTGGTGTTTTTCTGCTAACGCTTTGGCTTTTTTCAGATACTCCCATAATAAGCACATGTTATCATTCTTTGGCCCTCCAGAAAGTCAACAAGCAAAATGCCTTGGGCATCCCAATAAACTTTTTCCATTACTTTTGCTCTTGACCTGTCTGCTTTTGCTTTGACTGGACCACTTCCACCTCTTGGTAGCCATGGCTTTGATTGTACTTTGCCTTTAGGATCATACTGGTAAAGGTTTGTTTCATCTCCTATTACAGTTCTTCAAAGAAATACTTCAGGATCTTGATACCATTTGTTTAAAGTTTCCAGTGAAAGCTCTGCTCTTTGCAGCTGATCTGAACACAACAGTTTTGGCACCCATCAAACAGAAAATTTGCTCAACTGTAATTTTTCAGCTAGAATTGTGTAAGCTGAACCAATTGAGACGTCTCTGGTATTGGCAATTGTTTCTGCTGTTAATCATTGGTCCTCTTCAATTAGGGCACGAACAAGACTGATTTTGTCCTCGAAAATTGATGTGGATGGTTTGCAACTGCAGGGTTCATCTTCAACATCGTCTCACTCTTTCTCAAAACGATTTATCAATTTGTAAATTGCTAATTTCTTTGGGGCATTGTCCCCATAAACATTTTGTGGAGTATGGACGATTTCACCATTCTTCCACTCAAGCTTCGCCATAAGTTTGATGTTTGTTCTTGCTTCAATTTTAGCAAATTTCATGTTGCTCTGAAAGGGGCTCTTTTCAAACAGATGTCTTATCCTTCTCAGTGTCTCAAACCAGGTGCAGTTCAGGCATGTAATAATAAGTTAGTATGAGTTTATTTTGGTGAAAAAAAATTCTGAAATACATGCACAAGTTTTTCATAATATATATTTTCCATGAACTTTTTGAAGACCCCTCATACAAGAATATATTTGCGATATTCTGATTGACACCTTGCTTTTACCTGTCAATCATACATACTGAAGATCTTTTCACATCAGTCCATATAGATTTGCCTCATTCTTTTTTAACAGCTCCATAGTATTCCATTATAGGGCTTTACCTTCATTTGTTTAACCAATCCTTTACAGATAAACAGAATGTATCACTGAACAGAACTGCTTCTTACTAGGCCTGTCAGAGTAAATCAGTTCTGAAATGCACCCCAAGAGGTGATGAATCAATTGACCTCTTCTTGGGCCATATGGAATTCTTCATTTGAAATTTGCCCCCCAAATAATTTTCATTTCGGCAGTGTAAACTGAGATGCCTACTTACAATCAGAAAGAGCAACGTGGTCATCAGGTTCTCAAAGCTGCTCTTGTAGATTTTGAAGAAAATACCTACCTTATTTTGCTAGAAATCTAATAAATCTAAAGCCTATATAAGGGTAGTTTAAAATAAGTCGGGGGGGGGGTACAGATTCACAGTCCTATTTTATACCAGTTTAGATTAAATTTCTGTTTACTTCAGTAAGCACTTATTGATGAATAATACCTGTTCCCTATGTTCAGAGAGCTCACAGTCTACTGAGAGAGGTAGAAAAGTACACAAAAGTGATATTAGCTGCTATAATCAAGGACTGTCAACTACTGCTGCATTTGGCAAACAGAAATCATTGGTGAATTCACAAGGGTAGTTTCTACAGGGTGGTAGGAGGCAATAGGTTGAGGAGAAGGGAGAAATATACCAGGAGAAAAGGCATCACGATAGGAACACAAGGATAATGTTTCGAGGAGGAAGGGCCCCCCGTCCTACTTGTGTTTTGGCACTATCGACCAGGCAACAGTCCCAAGGGTACATGCAGACTGCAGAAGGAGCAAAAACCAAAGGGCACTTAGTCCTGCCTGGCAGGAGAGTGTAGTGTAGAACTGGGGCATGGCCTAGCCATCTGCATTAAAGTAAGTTCCAGGGTGACTTTGGAACTCCTCTGGAAGCCACTCCTCTGGAAGAGTGTTGATATGGCCGTGTGCACCAATGGGCCAGTAGCAAGCACACTTCTCTGCTGGAGGACACATTATACTTTGCTACTACCTGGTCATCTTTGCCAACAGACTCTAAGCCTGAGGGCAGAAGCCACGGCAATTTGCTCACCATTGTCTCCCCAGTACCTAGAAGACAGCCAGGCACAGGGTAGGTGCTTAATAAAAATAGTGTTTGTTAAATAACAAATGAGAGAATACTGCCATACCTTTTGTTAAGCCTAATGGAGATTGTTTTAGTCTGTTTCTGTTACTGATAACAGAAATACCTGAAAGGGCAATTTGTAAAGAAACAATATTTATTTATTTATTTTTTATTTTTTTAAAAGATGACCGGTAAGGGGATCTTAACCCTTGACTTGGTGTTGTCAGCACCACGCTCAGCCAGTGAGCGAACCGGCCATCCCTATATGGGATCCGAACCCGTGGCCTTGGTGTTATCAGCACCGCACTCTACCGAGTGAGCCACGGGCCGGCCCAAGAAACAATATTTATTGCTTACAGTTTCTGAGGCCCGTGGCCTTGGTGTTATCAGCACCGCACTCTACCGAGTGAGCCACGGGCCGGCCCAAGAAACAATATTTATTGCTTACAGTTTCTGAGGCTGAGAAGTTCAAAGTCCAGGGAACACATCTGGTGAGGGTTTTTTTTCTTAATGGTCTCTCTACAGCAAGCGAGGCAGGGTATCACGTGGCAAGAATGGCTGAGCAAGAGAGAGAGCTAAGCTTCTCACTTGCTCTCCTTTTAAAGCCATGAGAACTACACCCATTACTCTGTGAATGGATCAATCCTCACAATCTAATCACCTCTTTAAGGTCCCACCTTTTAATTACCATAACAGGATTTCCCACCCTCTTAACACTGTAACAGTAAGGATTAGGTTTCAATAAGCTTTGAGGGGAACAACAATCCACGGCAGAGATTGTTAGGTAAAAACTCATTTCCAGTAACAATGCAGCTATTTTGTCTGGTACCACTCGACCTTCTTACCCACAGCCTTTCAGACGATCAGTAACTATCACATCTTCTAAACTGGTGCCTGTATCATTTGACCACCCTAAGTCTAAAGTTTCAGAACCTGCCAAGGACTGAATGGCCTCCTTTATCTCTGCCAGAGATCACAGCCCAGAGGCAGCAGGACCAGTTTTTCCTGCTTGACTTCTTGACTTTTTTCTCCTATTACACGACTCAGCCTATTTTGCCGACCAAACTGCTGACACCATCACCCTCCTCACTGCAACAACTCATAACTCAGGGAATACTGTTTCCATGAGTTCTTCTGGAGAATTCCACCCCGAAAGTTTCTATTTTTCTGCAAATATACGTGTGTGTGTGTGTGTGTGTGTGTGTGGTGTGAACTTTATCGACCCAGCAAACCATACACATCTCTTTCCTCTGTTCCAAAGTCTTGTTTCACTCCCAGAGCTAAGGATACCCTCACACAGTGGGACAACTGCCTCCCTGATGCTCACTGATATTTGGCTGTAGCAAGATGAGCAGAAGGTCTCTTTAAAATTAATTTTTTAGTCCCCTGCATTAGGAAAAAGGAAAGAGTGTTTTGAGCTCAAGCATATAACTTAAGTTTGCATAAGCAATTTCACCAAGCTAGAGTAGACTTGGGAATTATTCACAAGGTACTTTTCTCAACAGGATGTGAGATATAGAAATTGTGCTGATCAGGGCCGGCCCGTGGCTCACTTGGGAGAGTGTGGTGCTGATAACACCAAGGCTACAGGTTCGGATCCCATATATGGATGGCCAGTTAACTCACTGGTAGGGTTAAGATCCCCTTACCAGTCATCTTTTGAAAAAAAAAAAAGAAATTGCTCTGATAGTCACAGCTGTTAAATTATCTGCTCAGGCTTCTGCCCCTTTGGGTGGAGCGAAGGTAATATTACAGGGCTCCATCTTGCCGGTTAGCCATAGTAAGCAGGGATAGGATAGTGTAAGGGGTCTGTTTCCCTGTTAGACGATGAATGCATTGAGGTAGATTCTGTGCCTTTGTATTATCAATGCCTTGTCCATTGTAGTCATTCAATAAATATTTGTGACTGATGAAATAAATTCAGCAAGCCTGGACATATCTGATGTACCCTGGGATTTGTGAGCCAGTATATGATGGTGAGACACAAAATGCTGAGTTCTAGTTTTTCACTTTGATCACTAGCACAGGTACAGGTCACCTGAATAAGCTAGCAGGCTACTTCTGCCAGTGACGTTCTGGCCTTGCTTTTACAGTCTTTCCCAGCTTTTGAGAGGTCACTCCAAAACCCGCACCCAACAGATCACTGGAAGAGAAGATTATGTATTCACTACAGGCTGCCAACACTCATGTTTCTTGGAGAAGAAAAATAGCATCAGTGCATTGCTCAAACACCAAAATCTTCTCTGTTGAGAAAACTGCAGGGGTACTGAGAGCTTAAGGAACTGGTAATCCAGGCTTAAGGCTGCCAAATTGATCTTAATACCATTGCTCTAGTTTTTAATGATTTTATGTCATATTGAAACAGATCATTATATTAAGCCCTATAAGCTCAGGTCCCAGAGCCTACAAAAAGAAAAGTGCAAAATCACAATGTAGAAAGGTCTATTTCATTAATTGCTAAACTTAGCTTTCTTAAAAATTTCATAATCTTGAAAATAATTTGTGCATTTAATTTCCTCCTCAAGAATTCTCAAAGATACCTGATAAATACCAGAAACATTATAGTTGTAGGAAATAAAAGGAGTTAATACAAATTTCATAATCTTGAAAATAATTTGTGCATTTAATTTCCTCCTCAAGAATTCTCAAAGATACTTGATAAATACCAGAAACATTATAGTTGTAGGAAATAAAAGGAGTTAATACAACTAATAATTTCAACAGCAAAATGACAAAAATTATTTCCAAAGAATTTACCACAGGAAAAATATTTAATTTGATATGCTGTGGAGTGGATCCTCCATAAATGACATTGTCCCAGGCCTATTAAAGTATTAAGTACTGATGAATTAGGACTGTTTTAAAACAATTTTACAGTACTTTTCCCTTTCAAATTAAATAAAATATTTGATATGCTGTGGAGTGGATCCTCCATAAATGACATTGTCCCAGGCCTATTAAAGTATTGAGTACTGATGAATTAGGACTGTTTTAAAACAATTTTACAGTACTTTTCCCTTTCAAATTAAATAAAACATTAAAAAATAAAAATAGGTAAAAGCCCACATTCAACCATTTCCTTTAATCCATGACTTTATTCCTTATTTTTATCTTCCTTTCAGAAATTCCTTATAGAATCTACCAAAATTCACATCCAATAAACAGCCTGCAGCCTGGAGTGACATATGTCCTGTGGATGACAGCTCTGACAGCTGCTGGTGAGAGTCCCCAAGGAAATGAGAGGGAATTTCGTCTTCGAGGTGAGAGACAACTTTAAAGCCTCCAGTCCACCCTGGATTCTTACACTGGCATGCACTCCCACCGCATGTGGCATGGAGATTGGCAAGTTTTCTTTAATTCACTCATTACTTTCTTACTGTCACCCCTTTGCACTTACTGTTTCTTCTACCTGGAGTGTCCTGCCACTCCACTGTCTGCTTGGAGACAGTGTCTACCCATTTTTCAAAACTCAGCAGAAACGTTTTCTCCTGCAGGAAGCCTTCCCAAATGAATCTCCCTCTTCCATCCATAATGCAATACATTTGGCCCCTACTCAAAAAACTCTGAATCCAGTGGGCAGGAACAGATACCTGTTTACCTCTATCTTTAAGGACTAGAATGGTGCCTAGCACAGAGTACTTGCTCATTAAATATCTGTTCAATGAATGATGGCATCACATCAACAATAACAGTAGCAGCTATTGCATATCAGGTAGTTATTAGGTGTCTGTCATTCTGTTAAGAACTTTACACACTATATTAATCTGCTGGGGCTGCTGTAACAAAGTACCGCAGACTGAATGACATAATCAACAGAAATCTATTGTCTCACAGTTCTAGTGGCTGAAAGTCCAAGACCAAGGTGTCAGCAGGATTAGTTCCTTCTGAGGGCTATGAGAGAGAATTTATCCATACTTCTCTCCTGGCTTCTGGTAGTTTGCAGGCAATCATTGATGTTCTCTGGCTTTTAGATCTCTGCCTTCATCTGGCATTCTCCCCATGTCCAAATTTTCTCCTTTTTTCATAAGGACACCAGTCACATTGGATTGGGGGCCGATCTTACTTTGGTACGACCTCAGTATAATGAACTAATTATGTCTGCAATGACCCTAGTTTCAAATAAGGTCACATTCTGAGGTACCAAGGGACTTCAATATTTTAATTTTAGGGGCATACGAATCAACCCATAACCCATGCTTTTGCTAATTTATCTTTACTAAAATTACTACCAGGCACTTAATATGAAATGAATGAAAAATGACGGATTATTATACCTTTTTGCAAGTGAGGGAACCAAGGTACAGAAAGTCATGTAGGTGACAAGTGGCAGAACTACAAATCAAACTCAGATTTCAGTTACTTAAATTAATTTAAACTTGGGTGTATGAATAAGTGATGCAGCTACCATGAGCTTCTCTCCATCAGCTAAATTACACTGCTCTATCTGGCCACACTCATTTGCATCTGCTCTAAGCATAAAACAAGCTGTTCTTGCTTTGTGACGTGGAGTGTCACGTTGATCATTCAGGACTTGTTGTTCTATGGCAGCTCTCCACTGGGAAAATTGACAAGGCCTCTTATCTCCCCAGCATTCCCATGACTCCCATGAAAGTTAACTTGCGAGCAACTAACGTGGATTAAGGACTCAGCATCTTTCTACTGGCGGTAATCCAAACTTGTCCCATCTGCCCAGGAAGGAAGGCAGATGCTAAAGAAATGTCAGATTCTGCCAATTGTGTGGGATGGAAAAAAGGTGGCCTCCACCAACTCCCCCATTCAGGCCTTTCTCACAGGGTTAGCACACCTCTCACAGGGCCTGACAGGTCTCTACCTCTACTCCCGCCTGCTCACCCTCCTTCCTATGCTTTCCTTCACTCAAGCAGAAGAAGAATCTTTCTGCAAGACCCCAATGCTGATATTCCATCTCTTGTTAGAACTTGTCAGTAGTTCTCCAAAGGATTTCAAGCTAGAATTCAAACTGCTTAGTTACCAGGCCCTGCATGGCCGCATTTACCCACCTAGCTTTAACCTTTGCACACACCTCAGCATTCCCATGCCAAAGCAAGGCCAGACTACTTGCAGCTGCCTAAAAGTGCTGCACTGTTCCCTCGTGCCATGCCTTTGCCTGGTCTGGTCTTCTTTAACTTGTCCACTTAGCTGAGTATATGAATAAGTCCCCCAACTCTAAACTTTTGACATTGTGCCTTTTGCAAAACCTTCCTCAATTACTCGTGAGGCAGTTTCCCATGGTGCCCATGAATATTGTACATGCCCCTGCTTTTAGACATAACCTGTGGCATTGTGGTTGTTTACATGTTTACACAACTGCCTCCTGTACTGTGTTCATGACTTCTTAAGACAGCAGATTCCGTGTCCTATTCATCATTGTATCCCAGCATTTAATAGGGCCTGGTACATGGTTATTACTCAATAAATGTTGGATGAATTAATGAATAATTACAAGTAGTTCTTTTCACAGAAGAAATAGGAACAATTTCAAAGACCCCTACCTAGCTAGAGGGCTTATCTCATGGTTTTGTAAAATTAGTGCTTCTTGAAGGCCTCCTGTGTTCAGATACACTTCCATGTGCTTTGAATGCACCATCTCGAACCTTCATAACAACCTTCAAGGTAACCATCATCATTCACATTTTATAGATCAAGAAACCGAGGTCCATAGCTCACACATCTGTTAGAGGCAGAGCTGGGACTATAACTCAGGGCTACCAATTCACAGCCAGTGCTTTGTATATCTCCTTTCCTTCTGCCCCTGTGAGAGACAGGAGCCCTTGTAGGGCTGGAGCTCCTCTTAGAACCATAGAATTGGCCCCTTCTCCCTAACTGAATAAATAAAAACGAGTTGGCCTTGTTCCTGAACCTAGCTACCCAGGAGCTGTGTGTAGGACCCAGAGGGTTCACACAACAGTCAGTACTTTGAAATGTTCATTGACAGTAACTCAGTCACAGGATTTGCTGACTTTTCAGGTAAAGCCAATTGGAATGCATATGTGGCACTGAGCATTTGCATTGCTATCATCATGGTGGGCATTTTCTCAAAGCGTTACTTCCGGCAAAAGTAAGTTGGTTTACACCTACCAATTTGGTAGATGTCTTTCTTTTTTTAATGATAATAGCTGTTGCTGCTATGGGCCAAGAAAATGGACACTGTCAAACATTGCTGGTAGCAAACTAAATTTATTCAACATTTTTTGGTAACAATAGGTGTCACATTTTTAAAAATGTACACTTTGACCTAGCAATTCCTTATTAGAAATTTATTCTAAAGTATATCATGAATGTATGCAGATATTTAATGGAAAATATGTTCACTGAAATATTGTTCATAAAAGGAAAATATTTGAAAGAACCTAAATTCCTGGTGATATGGGATTGGCTAACCAAATCATGATACATTTCATATTATAGTATATTATGCATCCATTAAAGATGATGTAGAAGAAAATTAAATGGTATGTACAATGTTTGCTAGAGTATTACATTAAAAAACCAGGCTGCAAAATAATATGTACTTTTATTTCCTAAAACTATTGCATACACACACACACATACATATGCAAGATATATCAGTTAGCAGTAAATTTGGTTGTATGTAATATACAAGCCAAAATAATGTGACTTAAAATAGTCAACAGTTTCTCACCCAGGTAAAGGAAGTAAATTTAAGTAAAGGGCCAGTGTGGTAGCTCCACAATCATCAGGCACCTGGGCTCTTTCTATTTTTCTGCTCCACTGTCCTGGCATTAGCTTCTATCTTCAGGTTTACTTCATGACCCATTTGCATCATGCCTGCATTCTACAACTACAGGAAGAAGGAAGGAAGATGTCCACACTTCCCTTTTAAGGAACCTTCAAGAAGTCACACATGACACTTTTGGTTACATCTCATTGGCCAGAACTTGTTGAGGCAAAGGAGGCTTAAAATTGTGGTCTTTTAGCTGGATTCATTGTTATCCCAATAAATCAGAGTCCTCTTCCTAAGAAAGAAGGGAAAATGGGTATTGGGTGGCAATTAACACACTCTGCCCCAAAGATATATACCACAATGTTAATGTTACTCGTATTTGGGAATAGAATTATAGGTGATTTTAGTTTTTTCTATTCAACTATATTTTCTAAAATTTCTTTAATAAACATGTATTATCTTGTAAAGAAAAGATGTTTTAATAAATTATTCAATACAAAGCTTTATTCAGATGCCATGTAAAGTAATAGAAGAGGTCAAAATAAAACTACCACAGTCATTCTACTGGCCATTGAACTTGTCTGACAGAATTTTCATTTATTGAAGATTCAGTGCGTGATAGACACTTCAAAGCAGAGCTTTCTTTTGGTAGACTTTGAAAAAGTTTAACTCAAAAAGAGCAAACTAGGTTCACATGCATCCTCTTCGTGGAAATAGTGAGGATCAGTTAGGGTGAAGGTTAAGCTACTGTAAAAAAAAAATTTAAAAGAGAATCAAAATACAGTGTCTTAAGTGAAATAGCTCATTTCTGTCCCATGTAATAGGCATCCAGTTGGTGGGCAGCTCTGCTCCACGGTCATTTGGGGCCCAGTTTTCTTCTGTCTTGGTGGTCTACCATTGCTTGGGCATTGTTGTCATTTGCCTGGTCTATACTAGATCACAAACGCCGTTGCTCACATTTCGTTGGAGAAAAACTAGTCACATGGCCATATCTCTTATATCAAAAGGTTAAACAACTGAAGAAGCTTACCCTTCTCATTAAACATTGAAGCTTATTAAAGCCAAGTCTTTAAAAATGTTTCACGTTGCTCTTAAACTTTTAAAAAATAGTTACCATATTTAAGTCACATGCACTTATGAGAAATGTTTTTAGGATTTTGTCTTCCACATCATAAAAGAGCTATATTTCTGCTGATCACCAAATAAAACCTTTTCCTTACATGGTTATGTTCAAGCTATTTATACCATTTTTTATCTTGTTTGGGTTTTTTTAACTTTTAGCATAATAATTTACCTATCATTACAAACTCTTTGTGAATATTCTAATTAGCTATATGGTAAGTTCTCCAAGGGTGGGGACCATGTCTTCTTGTTTGCTCTTCTACCCCCAGCATGTGACACTATGCTGGTCACATATTAGAGCTTTGATTAATATTTGCTGAATGAATGCATGGCTGGATAGTAACAGATTGCCAAACATTATGTTGAGCAGAAGCTCCATGGTTTATTTAGCAAACCTGAGTGGCTGCTTCATGACTTTTTCTCATCAGTACAAACTTAACAGATAACTACTCCAGCTTTGGATGATGCATCATCTTTGTCTTTCAGTGTTTCTATTTCACTCACTTGTATACAAGAGCAACCCCAACACTGAAATCATTGCACTAAGAACCTGTGCTTCCATGCCACTGTGTGCACACTTAACAAATGTCATTGTTTTCTTTATCTATAGGATATTTGCTCTCCTTTCAGCCCTCAAACCTCAGTGGTGCAGCAGAGAAATTCCAGATCCAGCAAATAGCAAATGGGCCAAGAACTATCCCTTTATAGAGGTAAGGAATAAAGCCTTAGTGTCAGTTGATGGGGCTCTAGTGGTCACCACGTATAGGTTTCCCAGCGTGGTTACAAGGAAACCCAGGTGTTGGAGTCAGTTACTCACACTGAGTTAACACTGAATCATCACTCTCAGTTTTCTTCTGGGACTCAAGAGCAGCCTAAGCATAGAAATTTTCTGAAGCTTGTGACCAAAAGACCCAAAGACCCATAGCTTTCCATTCCTCTGTACACCTTACATTCCCCTTCTCACTTCAACTTATTTCAAAAGAAATAAGAAAGCAAGTATTTTTGCCATTTGCTGAGCACTAGCCTGAGCATTGACTAATTCAAACTCAAGAGAATTGAAGCTTTTGTCAGTCCTGTCTGAGCATAAAACATAAATAGAACTCACGCTATCTTGGTTTTGGCAGGAAGCCAGTAAGTCATTTCATTGTGCAAAGAAAGGGCTTTAAAGAAGAGGAGGTTGCTCAGCTGGCACCTGAGAGAATTGAGAGTGAAGGAAGCAAAGGGAGCGGCTGCTGCCCAACAAAAGTATGCCAGAACAGTGGTCAAGACGGGCCATCCCTGGAGGAGGGTCTGGAAGTTGAAGGCATCTGACTATGGAGCAAGACTGTGCTTTTGAGGGAAACAAGAGGGGCGAGAAACAGCATGCCTGGGACCTTGCCAGCCCCAGACTTCCTTTCTCAGACCTTCTCCTCCAAGATTCTTCTCTTCAATTACCCAGTGCATTTTGCCATCCATACCCTTCCTCAGGCCAGAAGTCAGTGGTCCCAGCCTCTGTCCAGGGAGAGCTGATCCCAGCCACATCTGCCTTAGGTATTTAAGTCACTGCAGTTTAGCGCCTTTGGAATTGGGCCTGGATGCTCATCCTGCCTCTGCCACTTACTATGTATGTGACTCTTGGGCAAGTTGCCCAGTTATCTGAGCCTTAATTTCATCATCTGTAAAATAGGAATTGACAACATCTCCCTTGTATACTGTTGTGATTAAATAAGATGCCATGTAAAGCACATGAGTCATACAAGGCAAAGATCATTCACTTTCTTATCCCTACTATATAAGCCACCTCTCTATTGACGAATTTTGTCCCTGTTAAGTTACAACAGCAAGAATACAGTAGTGATAATAGCAGTGTGTGTGTGTATGTATATATAATATATTTTTTAAAATATATTTATATCATATATATATATATAGCTATATATTCATTATTATATATAATATGCTTAACATATACCATATATTACTTTATATGTGCCAGGCACTTTTTAAAACATTTTCATATACTACATTGACATTTTACCCATGCAACAGCTTCATGAGGTTGAAGTATTATTATCCTCATTTTTCAGATGAGGAAACTGAGGCACAAAGGACTAAGTAACTTGCCCAACATTGGTCAGCACTAAATGCTGGATTCTGGATTCACACCCAAGCATGATGTGCTGTCTGCAATAATACTATACATTCTAAAAGATCTTTAAGAACAGGGTGTGGGGAGTGTTTCCAACAGTCTACACCTCCGAGCTGAACAGACTCACTGGAGAGGTGTTAACACAGTAGGTCCTAACTTGGTGGCAATATTGTGATGACCTATAGGAACATACTCTATAAGCTGCAAGGCCTTATAAGGATACAACTGGTAGTGTTAGAGGAGATTCAAGTACCAGAAGTCAAACCAGCTGAGCTATAAGTTCTCTTGCAATGCTGAGATTCCATAGTCTCATGTCCTAAAAGCCTGAAATGGCATGGAGGGAAGCAGCTATGCGTCAGTTGCCAACACCTGGCTCCAAGCTGGAAGCTTTTGTGGCATGGGCTCTGTCTGCCTCTCCCTGGGGTATACAGAGGTATACAGAGCCACTGAAGGGACCATAAAAAGCCTAGAAGAAATGCTAAGAAAGATGCACAAAGGTTTAGAGAAAGTAAGACAAGAAGACGGTAACAGAAATTGGCACACACATGCCCAAAGTTGTACAGCATAAGTATGTTCATTACAGTATTGTAAAGAGAAGCAGAAAATTAGGCGTAATGTAAAGGTCCACCCAGGGGCAGCTTAAACATTTTGGACACATCCATACAGTAGGATATTATGCAACTACTAAAAAAATGAGAGCAATCGGTATGTGTCTAAAGATCTGCAACATACATAAAAGTGAAAAAAATGAAGTTTATAACAGTTGTCTAAAGGGGGTTCTTATTTGTATAAAAACAAGGGAGATTTTATATGCACTCACATATCTGCAGCATGTGCACAGGATATTTCTGGGATCCTACATATGGTACATGTGAAACTGATAATGGTGGTTGCCTTTGGGGAGAGGGGTGGGAGTATGAGGGCCACTTAATTTTTGTTACATATTCTCTACGAATTAAAAAAAATTTTTTGTGAGAAAACTGTGCTATATTAATTTTACCAAGATAGCCAGTGAATTCGAAAAATTTTTAAATTAAGTAGCTTAAACATAACCTCCAGTTTAAAGGCCTTGAGGCAGCCTTAGAGTCCCATGTGGCTCAACCCTTGAGGCAGGTAGACTGATTTAAAAAAAACCAAACAGCTGTCCTGGTGCTAGGCTGAGGCAGGCAGCAGAAACACAGTAGTCTGCCCTTCTCCTCAAGCAAAATGTGCTTTGAGCTCTCAGGCCTTATATCCCCCTACCATGTATTAAGATGTGGTTAAGAAACCATGTGCCAGGAGTTCCATGGGCCTTAAAGCTCTGAAGGAAAAGGCCAAGTCATAAAGCAGATCAGTGGGATGTTATCCAGCTTATAGAAGCTTAAAGTAGTGCCCGTAAGGTTCCTGAGCCAATGGTGGTTTAAGATGCCTTCCTCCTAGGACTTCTCAGCCAGAGGGCCTGCTTTGTAAAAGCTCTGAGAGCAGCCTTTATCAATATTGCCAAAGTTTTCATGAAGGAAGAGCGAATATCTCACCTTGTGAAAACAACGAGCCATTTCTGCACCCCATGTAATCTCTCCCACATCTGTGGTAGCCACACTTTGGCAGCTCTGCTTCCTGAGCTTCCAGCCATGTTCCAGGCCAGACCAATGTGCCAGGGCCAGTTTGGGTAGTGATCAGAAAAGAGCAGACTCCCAGCAGAGAAACATACACGTGCACGCTCTAGCTCGTTAGGGCCCTTTGCAGAAGTCTGTCCCAAGAGAGAGCCACTGTTCACTTTATTGACACTTGCCATACCCAAGGCAAGGAAGGGGATGCCAGAGGCCAGTCCAAACCAAACCCCTCTTGCACAACTTGTCATTTGACACATGAGAGAACTGAAGCCAAGAGAAGTTGACTGAGCTTTCCCAGGCCACAGAGTGTCAGAGTTGGGACTAGTCCCCAGGGTTTACCCTATCCCAAGACTATTTCTTGTAATCCTCCTCCTCCCTTAAGACATGGTCCCTGTGTACAGGTGGCTTACAGATATGTAAAACAAAAGCTGACACTGCAAAGCATCACATGCCAAGAACCTAGCAGGTGGTTTCTCCACTGTTGTACGAGTTCAGCGGAAGGAGCAGTCAGTAGGGCTTCGTGGGAGGGAAGATGTCAAGCAGGAGAGGGTGGAGCAGACATTGGCAGGGTTGGGGCTGGAAGTGGAAGCACATGTGTAGGGGCGGCACTGAGAAAAGAGTGTTTGGTAAGACCGGGCATTGTGCCTGGAAAAGCGGTGTATGAAGAAAAATGGTGAGGTGGAGGAAGGTGCGAGAACCCCACTGCCAGGTTAAGGGCTGGAGTCTCTACTGAATATGTAAACCCGAGTAGTTAAAGGCTTCGAAGCTCTGCTTTAGAATGATCAGGCAGTCAGTGTGTAATATTGTTTCTAGGATGTAAGAAGAGCCCAAGTAAAGCCTAGTAAAAGAAAAGTAAATAGGTGCTGAGGACTTGGACTGAGGAATTGGCAGTGAGTTTGGAAAGGAAACAGATAGGACACTGAGGAGCTGGTAACCGATGGGATTGCTGAGAGAGAGAGAGTTAAGTAGTTAATTAACAAAACTAGGCTAGTTTGCCTTTTACAATTAAAATCAGCTAAAGGGAGAAAAGGATGACAATCTTCCAAAAAAGTTATTCCAGGGTGGTCTTTTTAAAAAGCGGATCTGACAAGGATATACCCTGCCTGAAACTTTTTAGTAGTTCTGTCAAAGCCCAAACCCCTTAACATCCCTTAAAAGGCTCTTCATGATGTATATCCCCTTCCCCTGTTTCTGAAGCCTGTTTGTCATTCATAAGAAATAACCAGCAGGTTCCGGACTACACCTCCCTACCTGTAAAACTCTACACCTCGGAGGACTCAGCTCTAGTGTTACCTCATCACCTGTGTAGTGTGACCCTAAAGTCTTCCCTGCCTCCTCCCCCAGACAGAGGCAGCTCAGCCTTTCCTTTGCTTTCCAGTACCCTCTATCCTAGAGAAGAAGCAGGTAGTACAGTTTGATTCACATGAGAAACCGTCTGGTTGAAAGTTGAGTGGGGTAGTGAACCACTCACAGGCTGTGGGTTGAGAGAAGAGTCCCTGGCTCCTGCCTCTCTGCCTCCCTGGCAGTGTTAACTGCTCCTCTAACCACACAAAGTCAAGGGCCCACAGTGTCCCACCTGAGGTTGAGCGGGTTGTGAGGCCTTCGGGAACCGTGGAGAAGTAGGTTGTCAAGGTTACTTACACAGTGATGTGAGCCTCTTCCTCCTCCCTTCTCTCAGGAGAAGATGCAACTGCACTTGCACAGGCTTCTGACAGCCTGGCCCTCTTCTGAGGAACCTGAGCCCCTGGTCATCAATGAAGTCTTTCATCAAATGATTCCAGTCTTCAGACATCCCCATGACCCCAACTGGCCACAAAGGGGACAAGTACTGCAAGGTCACTGTATGTCTGAGGAAGATACAATGTACAGTGCTTCAAGCCCACCAGCTCCAAGAGCTGTCACAGCTGAGATGAGACAACTAGTGGATCTGTACAAGGTGCTGGGGAGCAGGGGCCCTGACTCAAAGCCGGGAAACCCAGCCAGTCCTTTGACAGTCCTCCCAGGGGACTACCTTCCCACCCATGAGGGCTACTTACCCTCCAACATAGATGATCTCCCTTCACATGAGGCTCTGCTCACTGACCCTCTGGAAGAACAGGAACCTCAGCACATTTCTCTTTCTGTTTTCCCCTCAAGTTCCCTTCGCCCACTCACCTTTTCCTGTGGGGAGAAGCTGACTCTGGATCAATTAAAGATGGGGTGCGATTCCCTCATGCTGTGAGTGGTGAGGTTTGGAGCCCAGAAGATCAACGTGCCCCAACCAGCACAACATACCCCATCTACCCAGCCCTTGACTCCAGTGGCCATCATCTCTGGGTACTACCCTCAGGTCTGGCTGCAGGTAGCGGGCAGGCAAGCCAGCTCGGGTGAGACTCGGGAACTGAGAGTTGGCCTTTACCCAGATACCTCGTCTTGCCTTCCGCAGAGCCTTAAGAGTACATCCTCCACCGAGTGGACCTAGATACTCCAACCTGGGTTCCTGGCAACTTTCTTGGCTATGCTGGCCAAAAAGGGAAAAGGGGAGGAGAGTAGAAACCAGCTTTTATTAGTAATGAAACAGTCCAGAGGACCATTTGTGCAACAACTATTTATAAAGCACCTATACTATACCAGGCCTTATACGCTAGATCAGTACTGTCCAATAGAACTTTCTGAGATGATAGAAATGTTCTACACGTGCACTGTCCAAAACAATAGACATTAAGCCACATTGGCTGTTAACCACTTGGAATGTGTCTAATGTGACTGAGGAAGTGAATTTTGATTGTAATTAAATTTAAACAGCCACTTGTGGCTAGTGGTACTGTATTGGAGAGCACAGCTCTAGATGGTAAATACACCAGCGAGAATTACAGGGAGTCTTTGAAACAAATCAGCCTAGGTTTATGGATAAGGACATAAGACACTGATGAACACCAATATAAAGGGGGCCCAGAATGATGACGACTATACCTTTTTCTTAATTTTCCTAGTTTTTTGTAATTTCTTGTTTTATTTTGCCTTCACCGTCTTTCAGTGAATCAAGGAGGGTTTAGAGTTACCATAAATCCACCATAGGCCCTTGAGTAAGCTCAATTCCCCTTCTGAATCTCGGAAGTCTTGTAAGGGGCTGGACCTATGGCTCTCTGACCCCTTGTTTCCTTATTCTGCAGCAGCAGGTGCTGCCTTCAGGCCAGGGCTGTCTTAGGGTCTAAGAGCCCAACATCCAAGTTTGTACCACAGGTTGTCCTCTACTCTCAAAGGGATTCTGCTTTCATTCCCTAAGAAGATTCTAAGCTGGTCCTCAGATAGCTCAAGTTGAACCTGGAAGATAATTCTCTTTTCTGCAGTATGAACTTGGAACATAGTTACATGTTTTGCTCCTTCAAGTCTGTGGCCCCTGGCTTGTCACCCTCCCCTGGCCCATTGCTGCCTCTGTCCCTTCACTAGGCTGATAGAGAAGAGTCTTGGTCTAAATTGGTAATAGTGCCCTTCCCAAAAGAATAGGATTAGAGGCTCAAGAACCTTTTTCTTAAATCTCTGTACAGCCTGGGACTACCCCCCACCCCCATCCCACACTAACACTGGATCTGAGGCAGCTTCTCCACTATGCTTTGGATTTTCACTTAACAAAGTATTTGTTGCAAATTTGTACTTCTTCCCTAACCCACCAAACTAGAATTGTGTCCATACACAGCCCAGTTCTGTATAAACAACTATTCTCAGCCTTTGGTTGACCAAGTTTCCTTCAGAGCCCTGGAAACTGAAGTGATGAATATTTGCTCTGCTTGTTCATGTTGACTCTTTATTCATCCTTGCTTCCTGCTATTCCAGACATATATAGTTCTCTCAGGCTTTCTGTGGAAGGCTTAAGCTTCTCCCTTTACATTTCTACTCTATTTAGCTACTGTGCAGCACACCCATGCCATGGTTCCTTGCATTTCAGCATTCTCTGGCTTGTCTGCACTCAGGATATAGTGCCCTTGACTGTCTGCCATGGACCATGACATATGACCACCTCCTCAGAAGCGGGCCAACCTATTAGCTCTTGTCAGTCAGGGCTAAATTTATTGCTCTCTTGCAGTACCTGTTTTTTCCTATCTTTGGTTTCCTTCTGATTACCTGTTATCCATCATAGTCATTCTTCCCCTCTTCTCTCCTGTGTTCACAACACCCAACTCCGTTTCCCCTTTAACTCCCCCCCCACACACACACACACTCTTTCCCTTCCCTTAAAGCCCTGGGTGTTACTGCAGTTACTCGTCTCCCCCATCCCGCATTTTTTTTTTTAAAAGGGAGCCTTCCTTGACTCCTAAAGGCTACTTCAAAGGATGCTGAGGCCTCCCTCATGTTCTATCAGCATGATTCCTACATCGCTTACTTCCTTGACTAAACTGCAGACAACCTGAAAGCAGGAACTATGGCAATGTTTCCCTGGCACTGTGCCTCCTCCATGGTAGGCCACCAATAAAAAGTAAAGCATCACCTGCCACTGTTTTTGTCTTATTTATTCTGTTCCAGAAGCTAGTCCAGCTGTGCCTGCTTCCTCTTTATTGGGACAATTGAGTTTGCCTTTTTTCTCTTCATTTCCAACCCCCATCCCACCCCATTTTTCATTGGCAACACTGCTGTGACACATGTAGGAGTGTTTATTATTGTAAAGACATATTTGAGCATGCCTTTGGCAGCTCATTCTGCCAGATAGTGTCCTCTTTCCATGAGTGACAGAGGATGGGTAACCTTGTTCTTCCAGCCCCAAGTAGTTTTCACAGTCTGCCTTTCTCCCCCCACCCCAAGTCAAAAACCCAAATCAGGTTGCCAGGTTTACCAGCACCAGGTGGAGCTCACCAACATTCATACAGACAGGCTTTAATTCCTCAGGAAAATTAGCAGTAATTAATAATCCTCATTCATGGGCCGGCCCGGTGGCGCACTGCTACAGTGCGCCGCTTGAGAGCGCGGCGGCGCTCCCGCCGAGGGTTCGGATCCCACATACAG